GTGATGATAGCTATAACTACTGCTACCTTCATTACGCAAATGATCAACCGGTTCTACCTGATTACTACTGCTACCTTCATTCCTACAACTAGCATCTTCTCCATGTTGATACCAAATATAATAATATGGCATGAAACCTCTATTAACTAAATGCTTCCAAACATTTTCACGAGGGCCTAATTTGGTATTGCAACATTTCCGACAAGGACAGAACATCTTACCACTTTCCAGCGTGAGTGGTGTAGAATCTGCTTGATGCATAAACGTCTCCAACCCTTCGAGAAATTCTTTCGTCACCCTCCCGTTATTATCTCTGTGTGAATACATCCACTTCCGCAACTCGAAAATACTTCCCGGACCGGACATTTTTTTTTGTTTGATCAAGCTTATAGCTGATTTTTTTTTGGTGTGTTTCAAATGAATCACATANAATACATCCACTTCCGCAACTCGAAAATACTTCCCGGACCGGACATTTTTTTTTGTTTGATCAAGCTTATAGCTGATTTTTTTTTGGTGTGTTTCAAATGAATCACATATGGTGGTATTTATAGAAATTTTCGAATCTGAGCATTTACTAGGAAATTGCTAGGAAAAGTAGGTACAAAACACGTTTTTGATTAATATTCTACATTTTCTATCCATTTCCTCTTAATTTCGTAGTAACAAATCCTTTCCTCCTAATTTCGTAGTAAAGATTTACTAGGACTTTACGAGGAAAGGTTCTACTATGCCTTTACGAGGAAAATAACATTTTCCTCGTAAGGGCCTCGTAAATTTACTTCCACTCTACGAGGAAACGCTTTTCTCGTAAGTTTACGAGAACTTTACGAGGAAAAGAAGTTTCCTCGTAAAGTCGAAGTAAACTCGTAATATTTTTACGAGGAAATGTTTTCCTAGTAAATTTTCCTAGTAACGGCTTAGTTTTCTTGTAGTGTATGAGTACAAACTAACTCAGCGGATCTAAAAACTAAAAACTCGAACCAAAAGCTGAAAATCAAAACTAGAAACTTAAAAATTAAAAACCAAAAACCAAAATCTAAAACCAAATCTAAAAATAAAAACTGGAAGTAAAAACTAATGCAAAACAATCATCACCACAAATTTTGGATTACTGATGTTATACCAAAACATAGTTTAAATAAATACAAAACCTAATTATATAAATTCTTAATTAAAAAAATTTTTCGCGCTTTCAAGACGCGGATCAAAATCTAGTTAGAATTAAAATTACTGGCTACGCATACTTAATAAACTCTATATATAATATAGAATTAGAATTAGGTTGATATGGCGTGACTTGCTTAGTAAAATATCCGATTTATTGCTACTTTAACGGTGAAGAATTTTGCTATAACAATTTTCAAAAAACAAATTGCTATAAGTCTATCGACATATTGCTATTTTACCGGCCTCCTAAAAACAAAAGTTCCCAAAAATAGATTTTACAAGTTAATCACGCAGTTTGGTTAAATATGGTAATTTAATATAGAAGTATTGAAAGTTTACTTATTCATATAGCATGACTTGCAAGAATTTAACAAAGTAATAAGTGACTTTGTTGACGTTATAAATGTATACTAGGTGACCGGCCCGCACCCTGTGCGAGCATAATTATGTTCAAAAAAATATTATAATAGTGTATCGGTTTAGAAGTAACGGACTGTACATCATCATACTACCATGTTTTGGAGAAATCTTACACCATAGAGAAAAGGCGGTACTCAATATTTGACATTGTATGAGAGGGTATAAAATAACGCACATGGTGCGAACAGTTATTGTGTGTATGTATAATTGTAAAGTCTCAAAATAATTAGTGTGTTTTACGAAATATTTTCATTCGTCATCTAATGGATTTGCTAAGACTTCTTATAAATAGTGTACAGTTTTAGAAGTGACAGATTTTATTTTATCCTTTGTAATTAGAATTGTATTGTATATATGTTGTAATTTTTATTTTTAGGTGAATAATAGTATTATGTTTAATTTTCATAATTATTTCTGTACACATATTAAAAGAAAATATAATAAATTTCAAAATAAGCTCCCAAAATAAAATTAAAATTATTATTCATAAATAATATAAATTTATGAAGTACAAAATCTCGATAAAGGTGTAGCAAATCCATTAGACACCTGCAAAAAAATATTTTAGTTTGTAAACCCTAAGACCGGATAACATTCTGTGATAGATATAAAATAATTTCTGAATTTTATTATTTGATGCTAATAAGTATAAAACTAAAAACAGGGACACTGGGAAAATAAATAAAAATTAAAGAAAACATGCACAAATCAAATACTGAGATTTATTCACTTTGACATGCAGCATGGACTTCAACTTTCTCCATTTCTTTTGGAGTATTAAACAGCTCATATAAGAAAGAGTTCATTAATGCTTCTATAACAGGAGGTCCAGGTTTCAAATTTCCGGAAAAAAACGATTTATTAAACAATTATGCATGATAGTAGTATTGTCGGTTGTCGAATCGTCTATGTAATATTTTTCATAAAATATCATGATAAATCAGCGTTAAAAAAAAACAAAAAACAAAATAGTTCCTAGCAAAATTTAGTCTAGGCAACATTAAAAAAAAAAAATTTTAACACTAAACCCTAAACTCTAATCCTAAACCCTAAATCCTTGGGTAAATCATAAACACTAAACCCTAAACTCTAATCCTAAACCCTAAACCCTTGGATAAATCATAAACACTAAACCCTAAACTATAATCCTAAACCCTAAACCCTTGGGTAAATCATAAATATTAAATTTTTAAAATACTATAAGATTTATCTAAAGGTTTATGATTTAACCATGGATTTAGGGTTTGTGATTATAGTTTAGGGTTTAATGCTAAAATATTTTCTTTAAAAAAAATTATTTTCGTTTTTATTAATTTTTTATTTATTTATTTATTTTATATTTTTATTTTTAAAAACATAATATAACTTAATAAGATTTTCTTTCCTTTTTTAAAAAGATATCAAATATGAAATAATGTAATTCTATTGGATGGGTTCGCCCAAGAATAAGTCTATTCCAATTCATCATATTTGAGAGCATTAAATTATTTTTGTCCACGGATATCAATAAAACTATGTAGAGAAATGTCTTTGAATTGTAGTATCAAATATGGTTCCAAGATTGCTCTGGATGGATTTGCTTTCTTTTATAGAAATCAATAAGATTTATTTCTTAAATTTTCTTTATCTATACTATTATTTGCGAAGTGAGTTTTCGCTTCGGAGCTCCCACGTTAAAAGTTGGAGTGGTTAATATCGTTTATACTATTAATGAATAAAATATATAAATTAGCTAAAAATAAAACGAATTTAATACTTATTTGATTAGATAAATGATTTAAATTAATAATAATGATAAAAATTATCCATAATCCAAATATATATATTTAAAAATAAAATAAAAAGATAATTCTTATATATATTGTGTTGTTATCCGGAAAATATTTTTGATAAAAAATTCAAAAACAGAAAACACATAAATAAATATTCATAAAGTAAAATATTTAAAAATAAAATAAAAAGATAATTCTTATATATATTGTGTTGTTATCCGGAAAATATATTTTTGAAAAAAATTCAAAAACAGAAAACACATAAATAAATATTCAGAAAGTAAAATTTTCAATTGTATATAATTCAAAAGAGAAAATTGAAAAAAGTATAATATTTAATTATTTTTAAATTAAAATAATATAATAATATAATATAATCATATATATTCGTGAAGTTATTTTTCGCCTATGAACTCACACGATAAATTAAATTTATGTTTATATTTTATATAGTTAAACCTTAAACATTAATTAATCACATAAAATAAAAGATCATTCAAAAATAAAAATAAAATACGTGTTTGACAAAAATAAATTCAAATATATTTTATTATTATCCAAACTAATTTTATTCTTTCTGTAAGATCAATTTTTGAATGTATATTTATGGATTCAATTTTTCAAATTGAAAGATAGATATCTATATTTTTATCAAATAAGAAGAAATGAAGTAGACTTTAGATTTTTCAAAATTTTAAAGGAAAACATAGATTTGTTTTTAATTTGTGAATAACTTTATCAATGTAAAAAAGTTTAATGTTTTAGGTCGAATTGTTTGGATGCAAATAATCATTTATTTTGATGATATTTTAAATTAACTTAAATATAATTAAGCCCGTATGTGCGCGCAAAACACCTAATCCTGATGTAAATGTCAATTCCTTTATAGCTATTAATACTTGAGACACCACCAATCCACCGTTCAGCGCAAGGCTTCCAAAAAATTGTTGCATACAAAAGCTTTCTTCTAGGGAGAGTTGACTCATTTACCTAGAAATACAAATAAAATACATAATTTGAGTTAGGAGATTCAAAGCTTGTGCATCTAGCAAGCGAAGAATCCTCATCTCCGCCGCAAGAGCATATGCACTGACTTTTCTGAAGTTGAAAATGTGAATTTAAATCATGAAAGTTCGTCATCAAATCAAAACAGGGACACCACAGCAATATAGTACTTTGGCTAAGATAAATCTTAACCTGATTTATGTGCCACCCTGAAAGCGAGGCTGATTTGCTCTCTCCGAAAACAACTCAAAGGGCTTGGCCATACACAATTAAAGAAAAGTTCACATGTACACAAGTGATAAGTATGTTCTTTATCATGTCTGATTTATTAATTTCACTTTTAACATATTCGATTGTGTTAAATAAAACATTTATATCTAAAGAAAATCAGATTGCATTCAATTCACGATCCATTTTTTGAAATTTGCATTACTTTTTTCAACACCAAAGAGAGTTCGGTTAAACCGAAGCCATACTGTACTGTAATCTAGCATTTCAAAACAGAACCAGAGCTCATCTGTTGTCTTAACATATAAAGCCAGTACAAACTCATAACTCCTCGGTTTAGAATGGTCATCTCCTGAACCAGACCACATTTAACCCAACAACAACTTCTGATTTAGTTTTGGGGAATCACATATCAGAAACAGACCAAAGGTAAGCTTCTCTTTCCGTTGCTTTTTTCTCACTTGTCTTCTTAAACCTATCCTTCTCATGTCCTACAAACCACAAAAAAAAAAAAAACAGATTACATAAAAATAAGCTTCCAATGGATTTTTTTCATTTTATATGTACAAAGGCAAAACACACATTCAGAAGACAAAACTTACCGGTACTGCGGTCAACTCCATCCCAATGTCTACCGGGCTTTATTCCATACCGATTAGGTGCAGCTTCTAATCCTCTTGTTATCCAGCTATGTTTTGGGATACTTTGTGGTATGACAAACCCAGATTTTTTCATATCCTCATTGTCCCCTAGATCCATAAGAGGTGTCTCGTGCTGTTTTTTCTGCGATATAGAGATACAGTGATATGTTACGATATTGTTTTAATTCAAAGGCAGTCTTTGGTTAGTGATTGTTTTGTAGAAAGTACCTTGACCAAATGAGCCATTGGATCTCCCCATCTAACTCTTTCTTTCATCATTTGATCAAGCTCGGGATCATCCCTGAAACGACATGGATATAACCTTTTAAATAACACCCAAGTAGAAAATAGCTCAACCTCTAGCTCATGAGTAAGACCCGATATAATACCTGGTCCGAGCAAATGGCTTATCCTTCTCAAGCTCAAGTTCCTGTAGTCTAGCTTCAGCATCACGCTTCTGAGCTAAACCTTGGCCCCATTCCAATTTGATCTCCTACAAAGAGTTAGTCACTTATGTTGGTAACTGTTTTTTTTCTCAGTTACTCAGATTCACAATTCATATTCTGTGAGCATAAAGTTAACCAGCAAACAGTACCTTTGGCTTCTCTATCACTTTCTTTTGCTTTGATTGAAGATATTCCTCTTTTGATATTCGCTTCCCTGCAATATAAATAAGCAACCATATGGGAGTGAGTCATGTAACTATGCATTCTCACAGAACATTATAGGGAGCTAAAACCTATAATCGGTCCTTGCCTGTAATCTTGTCACGGAACACTGCTTCTGCATTCTGACCAGTCAGCTCGGAATCCATATTTTTAAACCTGCAAAATAGTTTAACTTGTCAAAACGGTCTCTTATGAAGTCCCAAAGACATAAAAAGACAATCTTAATAAAAAAAGGAATGATACACCCGAAAGAAGAGTCTGCTTTTGACAGTGTCAAAATTTAATCCGAGAAGGAGCGTACTGAAGCATCTCGTAGTCCACTAAGCAAAGCTCTATGATGAAGAATGATAGAAGCTCCACCTGAAAACACACAAAACTCACATTTGATTCTATATAACCAAGTGAGAACGATATGATCAAAGAAAGTTATTATACAAACCTTTTTGTCAGATTGTGCAGCTTTCAGAAACCTCCTCATGAACACATACGGAGTAGGCAGACAGAAATTGAATTGCAAGGTATTCGCCATTAACTTCTCCTGCAAGAAAAAAAAACCCATTAACACAATGATCATCTTAACGTATAGAGAGCATCCATAGTTATGATCATTTTTACCATGTCAAGAACTTCTCTTCTAGTGTACGCCTTGTCAGAGATCACGATAAGATCATCAACAACCGGAACCGAGACTTCTTCGTATTTGCAAGCAAGCAACAAAGCTGTTACACCCACAAGCTGAAGCTTTTTCCGTGGGACATGGTTAGCAACCACAAGAAACATGTCTATGAGGTTGATTGTGAGGTAAAGGGTCTCTTCCATCAGCTCAAACTTGTAATGCACCTGTACAACAACAATGTTTAGTTACTAAACTATCTCCAAGAAACAAAACCAGAAACAGTTTATGTCTGTACTTACCTCAATTAACCAATCAACAAGGATCCCTCTCATCCTCTCGTTAATATCAGGTTGATTCTAAAGCTGGTCCAAATTGTCTCGTCTGAAGATTCACATTACCTGCAGCGAGCTTTGGCCTGTTGTTGGATTCACAGAGAAAATAATTAAATTAAATTTCAAGGATAGTAACCAGAAAAAGCTCACATACAAACTCAAGTCTAGGAGATACTTGCGTTAGGTCTACAGACATTAGGACATCGTTAATATATATTGAATTATTTTCCTAATGGTATGAGATTGACATCTTTGGAATTTAATTTCCAACTTGTTTCGCAAGTTATCGAATATAATGTAAGGCAAGTAATTAACGTAACCAAATATTTGAGATACAATTTATCGAATATAATATAAGGCAAGTAATTAACGTAACCAAATATTTGAGATACGATTCTCATACCATTTGCACGGCGAAACAAAAAAAAATATAAACGAAAATTGAAATAAATCAACCAATCAGATTCTCAGAATTTCTTTGAGAAGGCCTGTATGAGTGACACGTGTCCAAGTGACTTCTCTTTTAATGTATAGGGGGACTAGGTGTTTTACCTGCATATGGGGACTTAATAATTTTACTAATATCTATAAATAAATATATAATAAATTTAAATACCAATAAAATAAGTTATTGTTCATATTAAAGTAAACGAATTTCTTCTACATATAAAATTTTTATCATAATGTAAATAATCTTTATTACGTAAAATAAATTCGAAAACCTTTATATGTTTGAAATATTTAATAATAAATTAAATATCAAACTATTATACATGAAAAATAATTCAGTATAATAAAAATTTATCTTTTATTGCGTAAAATAAATTTAAAAAACTCTTGTATACATAAAATAATATGCACAATATATATAGGGATTTATCTTTCTTTACCTTTAAAAGAAATATGATGTAAGATAATGTTTTGGATACCACAATATAAATTATATATTTATAAAGTTATCAAATCAGTGAAATTCGTTATTTAATTGATAAATAGTTATATATTAACAAATATAATTATTTTTAAGGTTGATATAATTATTTTTAAGGTTGATAAAGACTTTACAACTATATAAAATATATTTAGATAAAGATAATTATCAAATTAATGAACATCGTTTTTAATTTCTAATCAATTATATTAACAAATATAATTATTTTTCAAGGTTGATAAACACTTTATAACACAATATAAAATAATAGTATAGATGAGGATAATTATCAATTCATTGAAATTCGTTTTTATTTATGGCTAAATATATATTATTTTTTTAATTATTCATTAAAGGTATAATCGATATTAACCACTCTAACTTTTAACGTGAGAGCTCCGTTGCGAAAAATCACTTCGCATTTGCGGGTCTAAACATTTTATAATTATTTTATTAATACATCTTTTACTAATTAAAAGATTATAATAATAAAGTATTAATTGTGTTTTATTTTTTGAAACCAATAATATTTCTACTTTCATTTAACAATTCTTACATATATTTCTTTGTAATTTATGTTAACTCTTAAGTATAATTTTAAAATCAAATAATATTTTCAGTTATATAAAATTAATAAGTTGACTTGATTAATATTTCGTTATGTATTTTCTATTGTTTTAAGTGTTAAATGCTTATCAAAATATATATTTTCAGATAACATCACAATATATATCGAAATTATCTTATTTAAAAAGATATTATTTAGATTTTGGATAATTATTTTGATTATTATTAATTTTAGTTACTTATCTAATTGAAATAACTTAAATTCTTTTTTTTTTATTTTGTGTGTAATTTATATATTATTTTCATTAAGGGTATAAATGATATTAACCACTTTAACTTTTAACGTGAGAGCTCTGTTGCGAAAAATCACTTTGCAAATAATAGTATAGATCTCTATTGATATATATCCGGTTTCCTAAGAAAATAAGTTTCCAAATATCTATTTTCAATTAAATATTAAAACTTGCTGGGCAATGCAATCAGTTGCCTAATTTTTTTCACAACATTTAATGTACAATGAATATATGAAAATGATAAGTGAAGGAAAATATTAAATCGACCAAAGAAGTTTCGGTAAATATAATTCATTGAGTTGAATTTGCGCTTTGCCTAATTATTTTAGGATTAGATTTGAAAGTTTTATTTTCATATTAATGTTTATATATACACATTCCTCAATTGATATATTGCACTAACAAAGACTAGATTATAATCCGCGCCATGCGCGGTGTGAGCTTTTTAAAAAATATGTTGTATTTAAATAATTTTTTTTATCAATAATACTTTTACATTTGATTAAGGATTAGCATTCGGGTACCATTTGGTCCGGTTAGATTCCTTTTGGTTTAGATCTTTGCGAATTTGGTTGGAATCTTTACAAGTTCAGTTTGGGTTTAGGTTCGGATAACCCATTTATTTTTTTATCTTTTAAAAGAAAGTTCATACATACTTTTAATATCTCAAGATCTAAAAATAAAATAATATATAATATATAAATTTGAAAAATGAATGCCAAAATACTTAAAATTAACATAAAATTGGTTTATCTTAAATATTTGGACAAAAAATCAATAAATATTTCAAGTATTTTTGGTATTTGGAGTATCGTTTAGCTATTTTAAAATTTTACATTTAACTATTTTATATATTTCTAAGTATTTGGGAAAATTTTAAAACATCTCATGTATTTTGTATATTCTTATATGATAAATTTTAAAATAATTAATATATTTAAGTATATAAGTATGTCTCAAGTACACTCGGAAATCCGAAATATTTTGATTCAGTTTCGTTTCTCTAAATACCAAAATTTTGAATCCTTTTGGTTAAAGATTTGTACTACTTTTTGGATTAGATTTGGTTCGGTTATTTGGATTCAGTCTTTTTTCCCAACCCTATTTTTATTGTAAAAAAAATTTAAATGAAAGGGATAATGGTTCATATTGATTTTAGGTATGAACTAATTTTAAACCAAAACACATAACGTGATCCATTTAGTTAATAATTAAAAATTGTTTAAGACCTATTAAAAACAATTGGCTGAACTAAAAATGTTACAATTAATCACACAATTTTGAATGTGAGATTTTTACCATTTTTAGTAATTTATTTTTTTTTAAAAAAAATTCAAAATATAACATATAAAAAATATAATTTTTTAATTATATGATTAATGCGATTGTGAATTTCGTTTAATAATATAAAACTAAATAAAAATAAAGAGGATAAAAAATTGTTATCAAATCTTCATTATTCATAACCATTAATTGTGATATATATGTTAATCATATTACATAATTCTGTAGCTTTTATTTAAGGAAAGAATAAAGAATATTGTTTTGTACACTACTAATTAAATATGATAATTAGGTTAATAAAAAATATAACATATGTTTAGTTGGACCAACATATTTCTCTAAGAGTTCTGATAATCATTCTCATTGTGATATGTGGCTACCAAAAAAAATTACAATGCTTATAGGGTATTATTTTACGTGTTATTCTTTATATTTTGTTCTTTTATATATATTATAAAATAATATATATATATATAATAATTGAGAAATCTGTAATTATTATATATACAATTAATTTAGCGCGAGCACTTAAATAAAATAATCATATTTGTTTATTTACAATAACTTTATATAAGTAAATCTAATTAATAAATGATATTAACATATATATATATATATATATATATATATATTTATTTCGGCTATCTAATAAATGAAGCTTCATATTTACATGATTTTATGATCATTTGTATATTTTTATAACCAAAAATTTAAACCATTGCTAACATAATTTTTAATGTGAAAGATTTAATATTTACAATAATTTATCATCATTTTTAATAATTAAATTCAAATTTTGTCATTAAATTATTAAGTTCTTAATACTTGTTTACTGCAATTTTGGAATTAAAATATTTATGCATTTATAAATCGTATATAGTTTAATTTAAACATCATTAAATATATATATATACATCTAATTTGAATATCTTTTACATGATATTTCTTACTCATTAATTATATAAGTGTGTGTATTGTGCTATAACAAAAAAAAAATTAAACTATTAATCAAAAATATTATATGTGAAACTTTTAAATGTTTTATTAATTTATAGTCGTTTTGAAAAATTCAAAATATAATATATATGAAAAAATCTAAATTTTTTTGTTATATAGTTAATGTTAATGTTTAATTTATTTTCATAATATAAATTTAACAAAATGAGTAGAGGCTACATATATTTTTGTCGAATCTTTCTTATTTAAATTATTAATTGTCATATATATATATATATATATTATAACCATATTAGGTAATTCCGTAAATTTTACTTAAGGAAATAACGAAAAGAATTAATAATAATCTCATGCTTAGTTTATTAAAAAGTGTATTATATATTTATATTAACTAATATATTTTTTTAGTAAATTTGAGAAACATTCTCATGATGACACGTGGTTACCAATACATGTTGTAATGCTTCTCAATTAATATATAGGGGGTGTGAACTTAAGTCCTCCTATATCAATAAAATACCAAGGTATTCAGTTCTTATCTCGCTTTCTAATCATAAACTAAATTCTATGTGGTGATGGTTCGGACTATTATTTATCATCTTAAGTTCCGTTAATGTTTTTAGACCCAGAATTTGAAAGCTAGCGCACGAATTGGATCTTCTGTTGAAGCAGAACTTTGTAAATAACTCCTGAATAACCATGTCGGTTGGTTCTTTTAATTTATTACAGTTATTAAAGAAATATAGAAGGTAATAGAGATGAGGTAGGAAAAAAAATTTGTGTTGGTAAAGAGATTAGAATTGTATATACACAATAGAGAATTAAAGCAATTCTCGAAAGCCGCAAAAAATGCCAATTCTAAAAAAAATCATGAAATTAGGGTTGAAGAGAGATTGTATAAGACATTTTCCTCTTCTAAATTATTTTCACCTTTATGATTAAACAAGTAAAAAATATTTTATATGAATATCTCATTCCGTGTAAGACACGAATCTTTACCTAGTATATAGTAAACTTATGAAACTATTATGCTATTATGTTCATCAAAGAATGAATTAAAATTTGTTTTGTATCGAACATAAATATATCATGATCGGTTTTTACCATATATATTTTGTATCCACATAACCACATAAATGTATCTACATCAAAAACACATAAATGTGCCTTCACTGAAGACTCTAAACTCAAAATGGATCAAGATAGATGTTGGATTAATCGAGTCAATAAATTATGTCTGTTAAATTTGTCTCTCTGTATGCAAACTGAATATATTAAAAATACAAAGTTATCTATCAATAGTGGAACTCGTATATGAATAGTAACTGACACGTGGATTAGTCAAATGAAAATGAAGTGTTTTGTACTTCAATATGTTGATTCACTATTAGTATATATATAATACAACAAGTAATGTTCATATGATATGAAAACCAAGTAATGTCCATATGATATAAAATACAACACAACAAGAACATCAATCGTCACATGCACTTCAAAAGGATTTTAAAATTCGATACACACAAATAAGGTGACGAAGAAATGTCACTAGTTAACTATTTTAATTTCTTAGTCCAGTAAACTACCTAAGGTAATCAAATGAGTAGGAGAATAATCTATTTGTTAAGCATATTAAACGACTTAAAACCTAGTACATATATTATGTATATGTGTTTGCTTGTCATAATATGCTTAGTTGGTGAATTGTCTTAAAATTCACATGTTACCCATTTCTCAACTAACATGGATGTTAGGGGATTGCACTATATACTATTGATTTGAAATAGTGTTCATGCCTTATTATATAAACTAGCTTTAACTCTTATTATATAAACTAGCTTTAACCCCAAAAGTACGTACATGTGAAAATTGTATAAGTCCAAAGAATAAGACTGTTAAACAGATGATTTGTTGGTTTCTCTGATGAGTCAAGACATTCCTTATCTGGGATCATGGCGGTTCTCAAGGAGTATAAGACTTACAGTGGGCTGGATATGAATCCCTAAACCGGAGCTATTCTTTGGCGGCTATAGGGATATTGAGAAATCGGTCTTGAGTAATTTATATGGTATTAAGTTGGGAACTTTCCCGATTAGATATTTGGGACTTCCGTTGAAGCATGGCCGTATCTCTCTTGCCACTCTTCAGCCATTTATTGAGCAGATTACGGGTAAACTCCATGCTTGGACTACAAAATACTTATCCTTCGCTGGAAAGGTACGCCTCATCGCCCCTGTAAACTATGGTAAAGTGAATTTCTGGAGCTCGGTTTTTGTCCTACCAAAGACCTTTTATGCAAAGATTGATTCTCTTTGTTCTGGTTTTCTTTGGAGAATAAGTCTTCCTCTTCTGGAGGAGCTCGAGTGTCTTGGAGTGATGTGTGTAGACCTAAAGAAGAAGGGGGTCTCGGCATTCGATTATTGGAGGAGTATGAGCTTGTTTTTCGTTTAAAGCAAGCCTGGAACTTATTTACTAATCGGGATTTCCTCTGGATCTCTTGGCTGAAGTCAAATGTTTTCCACAGGAAACCTTTTTGGTTGATGGAAGACTCACCTAGACTGTCCAAAGCGGTCCGAAGTCTGGTTCAGATTAAGGATTTGCTACTTCATTGTCTGAAGTGTGTAGTGGGCAACGGGCAAAACGACATTGTTTTAGTTTGACTCGTGGAATAATTTAGGACCCCTGTTGACGTATATAGGTGATGCAGGACCTCGCCAACTTCGTCTGCGACTTACTGTGACAGTTGCTGATGCAACCAGGAATGGAGAGTGGAACTTGCCCGCTGCAAGAAACACACGAACTGAAACTTTGCAGGTACTGTTAACAACCATTGCACCGCCTGATGCCTCCTTTGGTGAAGATAGGTTCCTATGGATCCAATGAAATGGGAACTATGGACCATCTTTCTCCGCTAAGGTAGCTTGGAACCATATACGAATACACTCTCCACGTCAGTCTTGGTCTAGGGCTATCTGGTTTAAAGAGCATATTCCTTGGAATTCTTTTATCTCTTGGTTGGGCATCTTGCGTCGATTGCCAACTAGAGATAGTCTGAGACGATGGGGTATGGATGTTCCAGATCAGTGTAATCTCTGCAACAATGGAATAGAAACCCATCACCACCTCTTTTTCGAGTGCTCGTACTCATCAAGTATCTGGTCTCACTTTGCAAGCAAAGTCTGGCCAAATCAGCCGCAAGATATTCATGCAGCCGCAGCTTGAATTTTACTTCCTCATGGATCATCATCTCCTCAGGCGAGATGTATTATAAAGCTCATTTTCCAATCTTCCATTTATTTTATATGGAAAGAGCGGAATTCGAGAATCTTCACTGCAAAAGCTTCTCCTCACACAGCTATTCAAGCGGCTGTGGATAGGCAGATTAGAGATCGCCTTCTCTCCATTCCACCATCTCCCCGGATCCAACCTTCATTCCTTCAATTCTTCCTAGTTTTCACAAGGCCTCCTTGATTCTTCACTCTTCAAAGTGCAAGTTAAGTTAAGTTGTAACTCTGTTTCCTCTGTTTCTTCTTGTATTGGGTTGTCTCCGTTTGTATTCTCTAAATAAGTTGCTAAGCAACATGTAAACTCTTAAAAAGGTGTGAAATTTAACATGATTACCAAAAAAAAAAGATTGTTAAACAGACGGACATAGGTAGTTGAGCGCAAATGAAGGATATGATATCAAGCCATCGAGAATAGCTGTCGAAATGTGGCGGTTTGCAGCCTCTGTGGCATGAATTCCGTCCCAACTCACGTAGTTTTGAGGATCACGGCAAGCCTTGGCCTTCACAGAAGAATTTCCTATTACTTTTGTGGTGCCGCAAAATAACTTCTGATTGAAATTGTAAGGATGTCCACCGTACCCACAACAAGCTTTAATGCCATGTTTCATACCTTTGACATAACCAACCAACAAAAGAAAAATAATCAATTAAAAAAATACAAAAACTGGATTTTCAATATGGTAAGTCCGGTTATGACATTACTTACCATAGGATTTGGGGTGATGGAATAGGTCAAGCAGTATCTTATGAGTGTCTAAGTATATAATGGTAGCGTTTTTCAGCTCGGTTCTTGTCTTGAATAATGCCTTTTCCAATAACGCGTTGTAATATTTGACGGCTTTGTTTACGGGAATGAGACATCCAAATTTGTCTAAATCCGAATTGGTATGAGTGTAACCGGTTAAAATCGCAGGGTAACATCCAACCGGTGCTAAATTCAATACCAAAAATGTCCGCCCACCTATTCCATATATCTCCTACATTCAAACGATAACCTTTATAAACAAAAGAAAGATTAAACTAGAAGCGGTGTTGTCCATGCATAGTATGCAGTACCTTAATGGTTCCAGCAATTTGGCTTATGACTTGTGGAAGATACTGTTTCACACCATCCACTCCAATGGAAGCTAAATTGGATGTGAAATCGTTTTGACCGATATAAAATGTATATAGTGATTTTCGGAAAACATTGATAGGCGGTAAGATATGCAACCCTGTTATACCAAAGCATGTTTACGTCATTTGCTTGTTAGGCCATCGTTTTATGTATTTATGGTTTAGAATATACCTGATTGGTCTGAGGAATGGTACTCGTCGACTCTTACCTTGAACTGTTTCAATTGGTTTAGCTGAATAGCGAGTGAGAAAGGACTGATTCCGGAGACAAACAAGGACGTGTTTGGCAAAAGAACCGTCGATGCTAAGGTTGCAAAGTTTGCACCGTGTCGGAAATTGGATCCAATTGATTGCAAGTACGGGCTTAGAAAAGGAATTCCAAGAGACTCAGCTAACCACAATTCAATAATACATTGTTAGTACTATACTGATAAAACTATTGTTTAGGAAAAATAAATTGAATTTGTTATCTATATTAACAAACAAGCCTATGAAATTCACATTTCTTCCTATATTAAGCAATAAACATTCGGAAACGTTGGAATATATGTGAGTATAAGAGTACTCATTACCCAAAAAATCAATGATAAGACGGCCGTCTGAAGCACGACCGGCGGGTTTCTTAAAGTAAGTCATTCCCCATGGACCGGATTGAGCCGGAAAAGCAGCCCAAAAGCCTCCTGTGTCAGAGTTCGAGTCTCCGAAATTGAATATGGCAATGAATTCACATTTCGAATCAGCTTTACACGAAGACAACATCACAGTGATCACAGTTAGAAGAGAGAAGAGTATTCTCTTGTTTTGAACAGAACCCATTTCTCTCACTCTGAGCCAAATGTTTGTGAGTGTGTATGTCAATAGAGAGAGACGATGGAGATATTTGTTGGTGCTATATGATCTTTGTCATTGTCGGTCCGTGACTCAATGTGTCTGTTTGTGTATACAAAAGCTTTGTGGTAAATACGTATAACGTATCTGACCATGAGTTGAAAGAAACTAGCTAATGTGTTAATTAATTGTGGACTAAGAGAAAGTTATGGTTCGTTAGATTAAGAAAAATGAAGGATTTCTGAACCGTAACATTAAATAAAAATCCATTTTCGTTGTTTTTCTTCTCGTTTTTCTAAGTAAAATGTAGACACTAGCTTGCTTCATTTTGAGAGTTTCCACAAATGAAAAAAAGGAAAAGTGGCCACAGGTCCAACAATTCCTCTCCAGCCCAATAAACTTTTGTTATTTTGCTTTTGTTTTTGCGACTTGTACTAACAAAAGCAAGAGAAGCTTTCTTAACCGGATTAATCTACCGGATCATTAAGGTGATGATTATTTGGATAGTTTTTAGATTCTAGTTTTTAATTTTTGGCTTTTGATTTTTAGTTTTTGGTTTTTAATTTTTGGTTTTTGATTTTACAGTAGATTTTAGTTTTTGAAAAAAAATGTGAATGGTGATTTTAGTTTTTGCGTTTGGTTTTTGTTTTTAAAATTAATTAAATATTTTATTTTAAAAAAATAATTTTTGATTTTCTGTAGTTTTAGTATCTAAAAAATGAATGATGATTATTAGTGTTAAAATTTACTATATTTGATTAGTGATTGTTTTTTTTTGAAGTTGAAATAAAAATTAGTAAGAAAATATTACTAACTATGAAAAAACAATAATACAAAATAATACCACTTAAAAATAAAGTTATGTATTTAATAAAATTATTTAAAAAAATTATGAAAACTAAAAAGATGAACCACAATTCACACACACACACACACACACACACACACACACACACACACACACACACACACACACACACATATATATATATGAAAATAGATAAAAAAATTTTAAAAAGATAATACATAACTAAAAACTTAAAAAATAGAAAACTAGTTATATTTAAACTATTTCTATAATTAAAAATATTAAAAATAAAAATATCAATTGTCTAGATTTTTAAGGTACTATTTACTTCTACATATTATACATAATAGAATTGGTAATTAATTATATTTATATAATTAATAAAAATTAAATATATTTTTATAAGTTTGGAAAACTGTGTTAAATTATTTAAATATATATTCAATTACGAATTTGAAACTTTCCCTTATATTTTTGGTATTTCTAAAAATTGGCTAATCATTTGTGGTCTTTTATTTTACAAAATAACATAAAAGTTGATTTCTTAAAAACATTTAAATTAATAAAAGAATATATCAAAGTTTTTAATAAATACAAAAATATTATTAACAAAAAATGTAACTTTAAATAAAATTATATTTTAAATAGCTAATTTAATTTGATTGACAATTTTGAAAAGTGTTGTTAATATAAATTATTTTCAAATTATGTTAAGCAAATGATTCTTACTAAACCTTATTTGCTTATAGTAATTTTCATTTAGATTTTCTTATATTAATTCATAAATATAGTAAATTTGTTTCTCTTTTGAAAAGATTAAAATGGAAAACCCATCGTAAAGTTAGTAAAAGCTATGAAAATTTGGTTTTTAGTTTTTGTGAATTTGTAAGAACTAGTTTCTGTACATTTTAAGAAATCCATTTCTTAAATATCTTGATTGGATGAAAAGAATTTTTTCAAAAAACAAAAACCAAAAATTAATGTAAAAACTACAAACAATCATACTCTAATCTGGCGGATTTGATTAACTTCATTTTCCTTTTCGGTTACCTTCTGGAATAGCCTTTGATATTAAGATTTCGAAGATCAAGAGGTGAGTGAGTTGGTGAGTTGAAGTGAAAATAAAAAATCTCCTATATATTAATTGAGAAATCTTTGAAAAAAGATGTATTCTTAAGTTTGTATTAATTAAAAATAACTTATCCGATGTAACATCTCTCGATGTTTTCTAATTCAATTTAGAAGGATTCTAGAACATTTTATATAGACTATAGTGTAAAAATTATACTCTCTAGCAATATAATATTTCGCAAGCTAAAATTGGTCGCATATATCAAATATTTATTGTTTCATAGACTTTCCTTAAATAAAACTTACGAAATTACCTAATGTGATTAAAATATAGGGGAAATTGCCAAAACCAACCCAAATATTCATTTTAACCCTAAAGGTGTACCTTATATTCAATCAATTGCAAACTCAACCTAAATGGGTGTTAAAACTACTATTTAACCCTTATGAACAAACAAAAAACGTGGAATATATTTTACGATTTTGTCCTTCGTAGGTCTACACTTTAAGAAAGAAGTCTACAACTAGGTAGACTTACATTAACGTCTACTGTGTAGACTAGTGTAGACTTATTATTTAGTCTACATCTTAATTTAATCAAATAATTTAATTTTAAAAATGTAGAAAAAATGTTTTTGGTAATTTTTTAAATAAATCATCAATTTAAAGGTTAGTATGAGGTATATAAATTAAATTTTCTTATAATTGAACAATTTAAAAGAATGTATATATTTGGGAACTATGTGGTAGACAGTGTTAATTGTTTAGCAACCAAATGTTCTAACATGTTATGTCTTTTAGAGTTAGATTCTTAGGGTTAGATCTTAGATTTAGAATTATTTTGTTTTAATGATTCAAAATTGCATATTTAATGTTGAGTAGTTTATATTTTGTATATATGATATTTGGTACAGTGACTAAGATTTTTTTTATAATCAATCAAATGTTTAGGGTTTGAGATTTGGGGTTTAGGGTTTGAGATTTATGGTTTAGGGTATAGTAGACTTACAGTTAAGTCTACTTATATGTAGACGTCTATTTCAGTCTACGTTAATTTGTATTTACCAAAATAAATTATTTTAAAATTAAAATTAACTAAGCGGGAAGTGAAAATGAATTTGGAGTTTATTTTTCCATATTGGCGCCAATATTTAGGGTATAGTAGACTTACAGTAAAGTCTACTTATATGTAGACGTCTATTTCAGTCTACATTAACCAATTTAACCTAACCGAAAAAATTACACAGCATATAAATACTTTTTTAGAGTTTTCTGGTAGAAAGAATCCTAATCACGCCATTTAGATCTGAGGCGGTTTAGGGGGCGATTTCCGGTGAGATTTCCAGCGAACCCTCTTCGACTCCGTTTTCATACCCAGTCACCTTCCTCTCGGAATCACCATTCACCACCACGACCATCACCACTATCCTCTCCCATCCTTCAGCCATCTCCACCTTGTCTCCTCCTCATCTCCTCCTCGTCACCACCATTACTCTCCGCCTCGTCTCCTCCTCATCTCCACCATTACTTTCCGCCTTGTCTCCTCCTCATCTCCTCCTCGTCATCACCATTACTCTCCTCCCTGTCTCTCTCTCTCTATATGTGTTTATAAAAAGTCTCTGCATCTCTTATGTTTTGATTAAAGTGTTCAATTTTCGTTCTAGGGTTTGTATATGTTCAATTTATTTACTGTAAATTGAAATGCATATGTCGTTGACGAAAATTGATGAAGTGTTATGAGTTAATACATGTTTGTAGTGTACAAGCATGTGTTGTGTTTTATTGATTTCTCTGGCTCTTTTTGTTGCAGGTTGCTCCCAGAATTTTACTGCAGACTACGATTTGTAGACTTTTACTGCAGACTACAGATTTGTAGACTGTCTTATAGGTCTACATTAATTTAGACTTAATATACACTCTACATAATTGGATTTGTGTATTGTTTATTATGTTTCATATTCTGTTTAGAGAAACATTGATTGTTCATAATATTTTCGGATGCATTGTCTTAGATTCTGTATAGAGAAACACTGATTTTTTATTATATAATTGGATGCATTGGGTTAGCTTAAGCTTGTTTTACTCCTTATTCTGGTCGTAGGTTCTATCTTGTTTCGTACTTCTGGTTCACAAGGCTTAGTTTTTAGATGTTTTGATAGCTTCCCTCGTAGACACCTTATAGACTTGTGCTACTCTGTTTAGGTTTGCTTGGTTTCTGCAACTCTTCCTCACAATCTTTAGTCTTGGANTTGGATGCATTGGGTTAGCTTAAGCTTGTTTTACTCCTTATTCTGGTCGTAGGTTCTATCTTGTTTCGTACTTCTGGTTCACAAGGCTTAGTTTTTAGATGTTTTGATAGCTTCCCTCGTAGACACCTTATAGACTTGTGCTACTCTGTTTAGGTTTGCTTGGTTTCTGCAACTCTTCCTCACAATCTTTAGTCTTGGACAAGCAGTTCCTCGTCTGTCAAGTCTAGCTGAAGGTAATAGCAGGAGTCAAGTAAATCTTTAGGCTCGTACTCTATTTCTTTATTGCTTAGAGATACCATTACAACACAAAGTATTCACATGCTAGGTATAAAAGATCTCTAAAGTTTGTCTCTTTTTGTTGTGGGTTAAAGATTGTTGATGTCTGATGTTAGGGTCCATATGGAATCTTGAAGAGCTGTTTGGTTCATTGATGGTGACAAAAGTTCATTCCTTTAGCTTAGAACAACTTTAAAGTTTGTTTCTTACATTGTGTTTTTAATGGGTTTTAGGAATGGTTACAGCTTCAGCTGATTGCTCTATTCTAGCCACTGATGTGGAGACTGGTGATAGTGTTGCACATCTTGAGAATATGCACGAGTAATTCAGTTCCCCTTTAAAAAAAATTTGACACACTTTCTGTTTTTTTTTCTAGGATAAAGCATTTAACATCACTTCTTGGATGCAGGTAATGGATTCTGTAAAGAGAAAAAGTATCTCAGTTCCATCCTCACAGAGTCGCCACCACCACCGTCAGTCTCGTCATAATCACCACTGGTCACCTCTCTGTCTCCTCACTCTCTGAAGTTGAATCATTTATAAGAGTGGTTAGGATGTGTTTTCTGATTACTAAAAAGATTTGA